AAATCGTTGCAAAGCAACTTTACAGAAAATTAAGTTTCTACAATATTTAGTAGTAGCTTATCAGTCGTGACTGTACTCAAAAGAGTATTAAAGCAAAGAAGGTCGGAATTGGGCACAGGAGAGAGGAAATTGTGTTGACTAGGTTAAGTTTGTGGGACATTGTGCTCTAAATAAAACTTTAAAAATGGTAGGGAAACACCAGTCTGGTCTGTGTGATGAATGTCAGGAAGAAGAATCAGTGGAGCATGTAATTCTTCAGTGTAGGAAATACAAGACACAACGATAGATGACGGAAAATAATCTTTAAGAAATATGAGTGCAGAAACTTATTTTTAAATCAACCCTAATTTAGGCTTGATTTTAAAGTAAGTTTCTGCACCCCTATTTCTTAGGGTCCCTAAGTATGACGGAAAGAGCTCAGGTTAGAGAACTGTTGGTTTTTTTGTTGCTCCTATTCCCCCTATTTCCTCATATCATCCTCTAGAATTAGATTGTAAACCTACCGATTGATCCACACTCTGGAACATATAGTGGCGATAATGCACCAATAAGCTGGATGCCAACCGCCGTTAAAAATAAAGAAGAAGAAGAACAGAACAAAATAGGCTAACATAAACACAGCTGTAAGTCCTCACAGACTGAGACATTCATATTAATCAATAACAGAGAAATAAACCACCATACAAGACATTAATCCAAATAAAATAATATAAAATAAAATATATTCATGCAACCATAAACAATGTAGGGGATTAAACAAAATTACACTTATTAAACAAATCAAATAATTTCTTGGCCTTATCACTTCTCATAATTTTCAGGACCTCTGTATACATGGCAAGCTCCTTTTTAAAGACATTAAACTGGGGTGCTGTTTTCAGAACTTTACATTTGTGAATAAAGTATTTTAATATGAGGAGTAAACAATTTACAACAAAGTCTACACTTTTGTCCTCCAAATGAACTCCAAATTTCAACATGTCCCAAGTAATAGATGGAAAAAGAGATATTCTTTGTTTAATCCAATTACAAACTTCAGTCCAAAACGAATTAACCAGATAACAATGGAAAAATAAGTGTTCAACAGTTTCTACATCATTATTACAGAATTGACAAATATTACAATCCACATTAAATCTTAATCTCAGAAATTCCTTAGCAGGATAAATATCGAACAAAATTTTAAAGTGCACTTCTTTATATTTTGGTGGAAGAGGAAATAACAAATATTTGCATCTAAATTCATTAACTGATTTTCTATTTAGATGTTGAAAAATATAGTTCCTTCTTATTGGACCAGGATAGCTTTCCTGCACAAGACAATTCCTTATAAACTTATTAGTACACTTCTCATCTACAAAATTTATTTTGCCTAATTTAAGATCCAAAATCTTGGGAATGATAGTGGAATATGTTAAAATCCCCTTTAACATATTAAGGAATGGTAAAGGAATA